GCCTGCCGACGGCCGTACACTAAATGAAAATGTATAGAAGGCCACTGAACTAGACGCTAAACAATGGTTAAAATGACAGATTTTAGGTCATGTGTATTTTACATATATTAAAAACAGATCAACCCAAACTTTTAAAACTAAATATAATAAAATGAAAGGAGTTAATTACAAGTTAAAAAAAACAAATCAACCCACCTTGCAGCCCTCCCCTCCTGTGTCCACGTATGCTGGAGCCCCACGCCCTCCCCTCTTGCTCAGACTTCAGGATCCAGTCCCCACACCTCACCCTCATGAACTCCAACAACACAGCCACACTTGGCCACCGCTCCCAGGTCTTCTTCAGTCCTTCTCCTCCCCCAGGCCTGGACACATGGCCTTCTCCTAGTCCCCCAAAACATCAGGCTATTCTTCTTCCCCGGTCTCTACCTCCACTCTAACGATGAAAAGTGTTCCTCCTGCTCCACAGGTGAGCTCTTCCATGCCCCCGATACCCTGCTGAAGACTGCCTCCCACAGACCCCTCCTGAGCTTTATGTCTGTGCTCACATATCCCCGTCACCCACCCCACACGCCAGTCACACTCAGCATGGCCCAAAACTGAACTCACCTCCAGAGCCACACTCAAATACCCCTTGGCTTCTCCATTGATGCACCCCTATCCATCCGGTAACTCATGCCAGAACCCCGAGTCAACCCCCGCCCACCTCCTTACCCACCCCACAGCCAGCCCCCTAGTCCTGTGCTCCTGCCCTCACAGTGGCCCTCAGATCCACTTCCTGCTCCCCTTCCCTGTCACCACTCGACAGTCCGGGTCCGCTCCACCTCTCTTTCAGACTAAAGGAACAGGTTCCAAATTGATTTCCCTATTGCAAATCTTTCGCTCCTCCCAAAACAGAAATATTTGATTATACACGGCAGTCATAAAAAATATTCCAATAATTCATATATGTAAGAAGTGAAAATCATCCATAATACCACCTTCAGGAGAACCTCTGCTGTTTAATTTTGCCCACTTCCTCTCCCCACCCCAAAACCTTTATACCGTTTTCAAAGCAATCTTCTAAAACATCAGTGTAGAGCTTAAAAAACCCTTTGCCAGACAACTTGAAGAATAACTGACATGGTTTCTTGAGTAAGTCAGGGAGTGGAGGGAGCACTGCCTCAGAAGATGGGATTTAAGAGACATAATAAACACAAGGTGTGAGACTAGACTAAACCCTGATTCAAACAAACCTACTATAAAATCACTTTAGACAACTGGGGAAGCCTGATTTTTGACTGGGTATTAGATGCTGCTAAGTGTTCTGATTTTGCTATGCACAATAATGACACAGTGATCACAGAAATACCCACCGTTTTTGGAGGGAACACCAAGTGGGGAAGAAACGACACCTGTGATTTAACACACTTCAAATGACAAAAGGACAGATGAGGCAAATGTGGCAAAGCATTGACAACCATCGGGTCTAGGTGAGGAGCACTTGCGGGTTTATTTCATTTATCCATATGCATCTTTGTACATTTAAAAATTCATTCTGGGGGCACCTGGGTGACTCAGTCGGTTAAGTGTCTGGCTCTTGACTTCAGCTCAGGTCATGGTCTCACAGTTCATGAGTTCGAGCCCCACATCGGGCTCTGCACTGACTCTCTCTCTCTCTCTCTCTCTCTCTCTGCCCCTCCCCCACTCGTGTGCTATGTCTCTCAAAATAAACTTCAAAAACCACATGGTGGTGAACTTTCCAAAGTCAAACTGCTTCTTGGAACATAGGCAAGACCACTACGACCTGGCTCCTGACACCCTCCAGCAACATCTCCCAAGTTCCTCTCAGAACCTGAGACCAAGTGCAGTCCCCCAAATGCTCTGACTCTGGACGAGCTACCATCACCACTCGGAACACACTCTTCTCCCAGATTCCCTTCCCAACTTCATTCCAGCCACCGGGCGTACTCCTGCAAACCTTCGGCCTAGCTACAATGCCTGCTTCACTGCAGTCTCGCCAAACGCATCACCCCAACCCCAGGCTGAGCTGCTAACTCTTCCACCTGGACTACAAGATTTATCCCTAAGGAGCACCCTTATTTGCTCGCACCTAGACTATAAGCTCTTTGAGGGCAGAGTCCAAGCCCAGAGTAGGCACACCTAAGTGATGACGGAGTAAAGCAAAGGGGCAGAGCAGCCAAGGTATCTTCAGAGAATCTGAAGTAGTTCCAAGATGGCAGCACATCAAGGAGGGGGCGGACAGAGGGTTGGGTGGGGATGGAGCGGAGAAGGCCATACAGAAGTAAACAGGAGCCAGGAAGGCACTCAATGATTTTTGAGCAGAAATAAGAAGCATGTCAGAGAGGAGCCTCCTTCTCCCTAGCATATTTCCATGTGGAGGGCTTCCTGGCTTTTCTCCCCAACACTTGGATGGTAATGAGCTTCACTTGGCTGGAATCTGCCTTTTGCAGAGTGAGTGCGCTGGGGTCTGTGTCCACAACACATGAAAGGCAGGTGGGAAATATTCAGACACTAGGAGAGGCCTGCGTCCTCCAGGACTACCTGTGACCAGGTAGGTAACCTGTGTCACTGAGGGTAAATGAGCAGCAAAGCCATTTGGCCATAGGTTTAAAGCCACTCTCTTCAATCATTTTTACTGGCAATGAAGTGACATTCTGAGCTCCATATGCCTGACACCTATATGATTCATTCCTTAACTAGTTCCTAATTTGGGAAGGAAAAAGTGGGTTACATACACACACACACACACACACACACAACCTTGACCCTTGACTCTGGTAAGATTAACTGAGCAGTAACAGAGTCTGAACGGCATATGAAGTATCTTGCGTGTAGTAACTCCTTGCTACTGTCAGCTGTTTTTGTGGTTGTGAGTGCAACAGCAGGCAAGAAAGTCAGGAGGATGCTGCAAGAGGACAGCGTGACCTGTAGTGTGACAGCAGGATGAATGAGGACAGGGGAGCTTTGTGAAGAAGAATGGCTCAGATGTGGCAACGGGGACTGTGAGGGATTCTGGTGTCCAAGCTGGAAAGCCGCCTCTTGTGGAAGCTGCCACAGGAGAGCAGACAACAGCTGCTGGAAGCAGGGAGAAGGAGACGTGATCCTCAGCTTATCCGCCTGCCTGCTCCCACCCAGATGGAGGGAGGGACACGCACAGGGGAAAGGAGAGCTACAGAAACTGAGCCCTGATATTGAGGGAAGGCAGAAAGGAAAGTTACGCGGGTATTCAAGACAAGGAACAAACCAACCACAAAAAGGGACTCCTGGGAAAACTAGAAGGACTGTAATATGTACTCAGGGTCAGCACTTCAGCCAAGAGAAGAGAAAGCCAATACGCCAAAAGTGAACATTCAGAGACAATGAGTATATGTAAACAATTGGTGATGGTTATTCTATCTGTATACTTTTAAAATGTTTCATAATACAGGTGCCTGGTGGCTCAGTCAGTTAAGCAGCCGACTTCAGCTCAGGTCATGATCTTGCTGGCTGTGAGTTCGAGCCCCGTGTCGGGCTCTGTGCTGACAGCTCAGAGCCTGGAGCCTGCTTAGGATTCTGTGTCTCCCTCTCTCTCTGCCCCTCCCCCGCTCTCAGTGTCTCTCTGTGACACAGAGAAGCTCCCCACTTCTGTGTCTCTCTCAGAAATAAACCTTAAAAAAATTTTTTTTTTTAATTTTTTTTCAACTTTTTTTATTTATTTTTGGGACAGAGAGAGACAGAGCATGAACGGGGGAGGGGCAGAGAGAGAGGGAGACACAGAATCGGAAACAGGCTCCAGGCTCTGAGCCATCAGCCCAGAGCCCGACGTGGGGCTCGAACTCACGGACCGCGAGATCGTGACCTGGCTGAAGTTGGACGCTTAACCGACTGCGCCACCCAGGCACCCCAAAAAATTTTTTTAAATGAAAAATAAAAGTTTCATAATAAAAACTTTTAGAAGACCAAAGTAAGGAAATGGGGAATAAATGAAACCTTTCTGCACTGACCTCCATCTGCCACTAACCCCATCCCACCCCCACACCTCCACCCCCCGCCTCACGGCTGCAACTTGACCCACATAAGCCATGAGGCTGGGGAGTAAGAGCAGGTCACTTGGGTAGGCATGAGTCTGGCTGCATTCAACAGAGCTCTGCTATATCCAACTCAGATCCACCAAGAGCCTTTTTACACAAAACAGAGAACAGCTTTTGATGACAACATGTTCTAGAAGGAAGCCTGAACAAACGTTCACATTTACAGCTTTGGGAATTCATTCTGGTCTCTGAGAGGATGTTCTGTCAACAATGCTGCACTTGAAGATGAAGAACGTATGGGGGGAGTGGAGGGAGAATCCCTCTAGGCAACTACACAGCAGGGGAGATTTGTAAGAAAAAGGGGACACCGGGGTGGCTTAATCCATTGGGTGTCCAACTCTTGATTTCCACTCAAGTCATGATCTCACAGTCATGGGATCGAGCCCTGCGTCGCAGCTCTGGGCTGACAGTGCAGAGCCAGCTTGGGATTCTCTCTTTCCCTCTCCTTCTACCCACCCCCATCTCCGCTTGTACTCTCTTGCTCTCAAAAATAAACACTGGGGAAAAAAAAAAAAAAAAGATTTTGTAAGGAAAAAAAACTTGAATTTTAGAGTAAGGAAGACCACCTTGTCCCTAACAGACGAACATCTGGGCTGCAAGCACTACCGCCGTAACCCTCATGCTCTAGGGCAAGGAGGCTCAGAGGGCGCGCCTGATAGCTATACATCTGCAGCTGTCACTAAGGCTGCAATTCTCTGCAACTGTCACCCAGGGGCAAGCGAAAAGGAATTCCCGGCAAAGAGCAAACTGGAAGGGACCCAACGCCACTTGGCTTTCTGCCGGACACTGCAGATTGAAGGTCCATTCTGGGGGTCTCCCCTGCCATCCTGGACACCTGCAGAAGCACTTCCTGGCCCCCGGACTCCCTGCCCTCCACGGGACCCCTGCCAGGGTGGCTCCTCCCCCACGGGCGCCACCCAGGGCCCATACCTCTGCCAGCTCCCGCTCACTGACACTTCCGGTGGCACTGCCCTTCTTCCTGGTGCAGGGCTCTCCCACGGTGACCCTGCCATCCCCTTTGGCATAGCTGTGCACAGTGAGAACTCCCGACTGCCCTTGGGCTCGGCAGGCCAGAGGCTCACTGGTTTCTGAGTCGGAAGAAATAGAATCCCGTGAAGAACTGGAGCCCAGGCTAGAAGATGATTTCTTTTTGGAACCTGAGAAGACAAGGCGTCCCCCTAAAGAGGCAGGATTCACAGAAAGATCCAAGGCAGCCGCTTCTTGTTCCTCCTCTTCCTCCTCATCCTCTTCTTCCAGTTTGACATTTTTAAGCTCTTCAAATTTGACTTCCGTGGAGTCAGAATAATCTGAAACACACATACACATTGGCCAGAGCCAACTTCGTCCTGCATGTCTGAAGCTACTGAAAAGCAAAGTGGCACGGCACAAGGAACGTGGGTGGCAAGTGAGGCCTGGCGTCATATTCTGGCTCTGTCACCTCCAGGGTCACTGTGTGATCTGGGGCTGACCGCTCAGCCGCGCCGGGCCTCCAGTTCTGTCCTGTGGAATGCAAGCCGTCTACCACCTATCTCCATGGTTGTGTCTACGACGGGGGCCTAGGCCGGCATGCAGCAGACACTCAGTAAGTGACAGCTGCTGTTTCCTCAGAGGTCTCCTGCAGGAAACAAAGGCCTGAGCTCAGCAGAGACCTGGTGACCTCAAGCTAGAAAATTTGAACAGAGAGGGGCTCCTGGGTGGCTCAGTCAGTTAAGCGTCCGATTTCAGCTCAGGTCATGATCTCATAGTCTGTGAGTTCGAGCCCTGCATTGGGTTCTGTGCTGACAGCTCAGAGCCTGGAGCCTGCTTCCGATTCTGTGTCTCCCTCTCTCTCTGCCCCTCCCCTGCTCATGTTTTGTCTCTGTCTCAAAAATAAATAAAAACATTTAAAAAAAACTTCTTTTTAAGAAAATTTCAACAAAGGGAGCCCAGCCCCGGGCCCCATCCAAGGTGCCATCCAGATGTCTGCAGACACACCAGGGCACCCTCAGTACAGACGCTCCAAGCCTCACCTGAGACTGAAGCGAGACCCCCCAACAAGTCTGTCCGCAACAACTCCCAGTGACTGCTCCACCACGCCTCATTTGACGTCGCTTCCTTCCCAAAATACAAGCGGCCCCTCAAGCCCCGAAGTGCGCAAACTCTAAGACAGCAGCCAGTCCACACACCATCTCACTCCTACTTCTCGTGCCTCATCTGCTAGCACAGCCCTTCCCACCCTTATCTTCAAATTACAGGACACCAATGCCAACTTCCCAAATTACAGCCAAGAAAGCTCACGTGCTTCCACACCTGCACACCATCACCCCTGCTACTCCCCTTTGGGCGCCCTTTCTATGTGCCCCCACTCCCTGCCAACCTGGAAAGCTGCCACCTCTCTCGTAAGAGCCAGTTCACTGTCACTTCACCAACCTTCAGCGTCTCCAGGTAGAGGGAGAGACAATTGAAAGTCCCCTACCTTCCACCCCTCATCCCTCATGTCCCTATCCAAAGGCCTTCTCACACCAATTCTCACACTCCACTGACACTCTGTCCTCACAGACCCACCTCCCCACTTTTCCATATCTGTGACCGTGCACTTAACATGGCATCCAACTCAGAACAGAACGCAGTTACATCTCTGGGGAAAATATAACCAACTAACCTGGGAAGGGAAGGCCGTCTTCGACTTGCCGCACAGAGCTGTGGGTGGGCCTCACGGGAGCGAGGGCAGCCTGGCACTCCGTCATATCGTACTGTCCCGTACTCAGCTCCTCCTTGGGGAAGAGCTCGCTCTGACTCACCTCCTGGGGTATTTCAAGACAAACTCGGTGCCTCTTTGTCCCTATACGATGCTTGGCTAGGCTGCAAGAAGGAGAGCCAACTTTTTAAGGGGCCACAAGTTCATTTACCTACATACATATTCACACATAGCCCCAAATGAGTGAATGGCCAGGGTCTGTCTACCATGCGTCACACTTCAGTCCCCCCTCTTATCCGTAGAAGAGACAAGGGACTTCACCTCTCTGAGCCTGTTCCACCCAATGGAAAATAGGAGTATCACCATCCTCCTCAAAGATGTGATGTGATGTGAAGCTGAAGGTATGCAGAGCACCTGGCACACAGCAGGTACCCCACAAATGTTCCTTCCTCCTCCATGTGGCCCAGATCCTCTGGCTCAGACACCAAAGGCGCTGGCCAACTTCACTCACACCACCCCCTGCCCTTGAGAGTTTCATTCCCACCACCATACTCTCCTTTTTAAAAAATGTCTCATATGGTAAGGAGAAAATGTGGCTTTTCTGGCTCAGAGGGAGCCATGCTCTCTTATGCGTCCTCTGCTCCAGCCAATTACAGGCCCGCATACAGAGGTGATCATTCTTGGGTGACAGCTGTAAGAAATAGCCTGAATGCCCTTGCTCTGGGGATTCTGGAGCCTTTACCAAGAAGAAAGTTCCCTCCGCTGTGGCTCAAACACCCCACTTAGAAACAGCCTCCTGGCAGGTTATGGAAGTTGCCAGACACCCCTCCCTTAAACTGGGGGGAGCTGGGCCCAGAGGACTGTTGGGTTACCTTCTCTTTAAGTCACCCTCCTCTCCATCCTCAATCCCTTCCATGCCATCCTCCTCTGGACACTCCTCCTCGTTTCTGGCTCTTGGAGGCAGTTCATTCTCCTTAAGAAACTCCGCTGCTTCTGGCGTGGGCAGAGTATGGTCGATAACTGTGGTGTCCTTCCCCGCTTTCCAAAGTTTGTACCTTTCTGGCTGGAACTTCCTCACAAACACATCCATGGAGATCTTCACCATGTCCTTTCTACAGGAGCACTATCCCAGGGAACCAGGAGAGCTCCAGTCAACACTCTTTAACGGCTTCCATGCGACTCCCACATCCCATCTCCTCCCTCCAAGTGCAAAAGACACAAGACAATTGAAAGCCAAACTGTTTGCGTTCACAGGCTGAGGCCATACTGTCCTTGCAGAGCCTTCGAGCATGGAGGGAAGCAGGGGAAAAAGCAGAGAGCAATGTGCAGCGCTGGGGTGAGCCCACCTGGGCACGAACTAGGATGCATAAAGAAATGCTGGAGGTGAGGCTCTGCACTTCGACCCAGGATGCTCCACATCCACCGTCCCTCTGAGACATATCCAAGCCAGGACCACATAAGCGAGTCTGCTCCCTGCCAAATGTCCAGCCCTGCTTGCTTCCCTAACCCTAAGAATTTCTCAACGGAGAAATCCCAGAGTGGCCAAAGCAAGAAACAGCCATGTGCGTGGGTGTGGTCTTCATGCTCAAATGGACTTTAAGCATGGAAACCTCACCCTACACATCCCAAACCTGAACAAATTCTTCTAATTTCTGTATGAACGCAACATACTAGCTCTTTGGCACAGCCCTGTCAGTCTGTTTCTGAATTCCAGCAGTTCAAAGAATGTTCTAATCACCAGCCAGTGTATCTAACAAGAATTTGCTCACCAGACATTTTCGGTCATGGCGTTACAGAAAGCAATCAAACAGACTTACCAGCACAGCTTGTTTGCCATACTCAATCCACCGCCGGGTAGCAAAATTGGTGGACTCCGCACAGTTGAAGCCATGGTTAAAGCCGGCATGGTAACCATAAGGAAAAGTGATCATGAATTCTCCAGCTTCTTGAGTCACCTGAACAAGAGCAGACTTGAACCAGCTGCATCAAATGGCTGAAGTCTAACGGACTGGAACTCAGAGCTCGGCTGCAGCTTCATAACCCAGCATAGGTCATAAGACCACCAGGGTCTTTGTAAGACACGAAGCCTGATCATATCAGACCCCAACACTGTAACTGACCATTCCCCGAAGTTAACAATGTTCTAGGGGATGTGACTCTCCTCTGGCACCGGGAAGCTACAGAACCTCCACCTTTAATATCCTTGGATCCAAGTACTGCTAAATGGGTTACCTCTGGCCCACGCCTGGTACAGAGAGATGAACCAGAATAAAGCCCCTCTGTGAAACAGACCGAAAAGGGTGGCTGCCTTCCTTGTAAGCCTAAGACCATATGTAAAGTCAGCTCACCTTGTCAAAGGGAATTCCATATTTCTTCAGCATTAAAGGGGAAATCAAAGTCATCTTGTGGCGGAGAAAAGCTTCGCAGCTTTGAGCGCTTCCAGGGAAAAAGCCTGTTTCATTGAAAATGGGCAGAGGTGAACACACCGCTCCACACCAGCTCTGCAGCCCTGCAGCCACTGCACACCTGTGCATCTCATCTGGCTGTGTCAGGAGGATAAATCAGCACAGGATCTCCACAGATCCTTCTAGCTTCGGGCCAATCCTGATTCTACAGTGAGCCTCCGGACTCTCCAATGGCTTACCTGGGTAATCAAATTCTGTTAGGGAGACTGAGATCACCCAACCCGCCTTGTGCTTAAAGAGAGCTTTGCAACTATTTAGGACCTTGCTCCTACTCTATCCCTCAATCTTTTGTTAGTAACACATCTACAGCACAGAATACCCAAACTCTCTTGAAATTGGCCCTCTAGAGGTACAAATCTATTAAAGTCCACTTAAAAGAACCAAAGCACAAAAATTCAATTTTAACCTTTAGGTTTCTGGCAGAAGAACCAGACCCAGGATGACGGGTATACTCTCCGTGGTCAAATAAACCCATGCTTGATAAAACTGAGACAGAGACTGTCGAAGAATTACTTAGTCCCTTCCCAGGACAAATGGAGGAAGTTTCCAGATTTTTATTTGCTCTGCTAGGGTAACCACTCTGGCAGCGTAGCTTATCACCTACATGCAGGCCTGTGAAAGGACACATAACAAATCTGACCGCAGAGCACGGACAATTTAGAGCAATTAGTGCAGTTCACAGGGTCTCAGGGTCTGAGCAGGCACAGGGAAGAGAGACAGTACCTTTGGCAAGGCGCTCCAACCGCTTTCCGTGCTCCGGGGGGACAGAGTACCTGCAATCACATAGAAGCACTGGATGCTGAGGAGAGCACCCTTCAGGACCTAAGGGGCTCATCCCCACTCTCAAAACAGCTCCCAACCACAAAAACTGGAAAGGAGTCTGGAGAAATGATATATTGGACTTTGGGGAGAGGAGCCCACAAGGTACAAGTGAATTTATTTCTCTAATATTCATTCATTTACCGAGACTTTCACTGAATGTTTACCATGAGCCAGAATTTAGAGTATGCAACCAGCCTTGTTGTCCTTTATAATGTTGAAGCAATAAAAAAAATTTTTTTTAAAGGATAGCATTAAAGTGCTCCTGGTGGAGGCTGAAAGCCTAACTGGGACAGGATGGAGGAGGAATGGTGAATGGGAAAAATGGATTTGATACTAGAGACCCGGCCCTGTATCTGCGGCTGACCCCATTTTCACATCATCTCTGTGACAGCTACACTGATTACCCAATAATTAATTATCCTTCCACCCCACAGGGTAGCAAGACACCACAGAAACTATTTAAAAAACAAAACAAAACACCTGTAACTACGTAAAATTTTTGCAAAACTGAGGTGCCTGGTGGCTCAGTCGGTTGAGCGTCTGACTCTTGATTTCGGCTCAGGTTATGATCTCACAGTTGTGGGACTGAGCCAAACTCAGTGCAGAGCCTGTTTAAGATTCTCTCTCCCTCTGCCCCTCTCCCTTGCTCTCTCTCTCTCAAAATAAAAAAAAAAATAAAATAAAATAA